GTAAGCTAACTTTCCTTTTAGAAATCCTTGTAATATAATTCCAGTTAAGATGAGAAAATCATATGATTATCTCAATAAAGTATTGAATTGGGTGAAAATTTCACTCATCCATTTATTCATTCAACAAATAGTTGTTACTCTTTGACATACTTCAAGCACTCTTACAGATGGTAGAAAGAGTCCCTACTTCCATGATGCTTGTATTTCAATGAACAAACACATAAAACATATAGTATAGCAGATAGTGTTATAGGCAATGGAGAAACAAAATGAGAAAGTATGGTAGTACGCCTAGAAGAATCAGGAGACTGAAATTCTAAGCAAGATCAGCACGAAAAAAATCTCATCAAGTAGGTGCCATTGAACAAATCCTTAAAGAGAATAAGCAGCAGGGCCGGGGATTTCGCTCAGTGGTTCCACCGCCTGCTTCACAAGTGCAAGGTCCTGGGTTGGATCCCCAGTAACAAAAGAGAGAGAGAGAGAGAGAGAGAGAAAGAGAGAGAGAGAGAGAGAGAATAAGCTGCAGACAAGGATTAAAGCAAAAGCCATAGCTATTGCAACAACTGGGAAAGAGGGTGTGCGGTGATTTCAAAAATTAAGGGCCTGGAGCAAAGTGAAGAAGGGACAATGAAGGTGATGGAGTACAGAAGTAGAAAATGAGATCAGATTTCACTGGGGATTTAGGTCAGTGGTTCTACATCTACCTGGCAAGCACAAGCGCAAGGTCCCTAGTTTGATCCCCGGTACCAAAAAAATAAACAAATTAACGAATGAGATCAGATTTCCAATTTTGACTGTTATTACAACAAAAACAGAATGTAAAAATCCTAAACAAAAAGACCAAGGCTGGAGGCATCACAATACCTGATTTCAAATTATATTACAATGCCATAGTAACAAAAACAGCATAATACTGGCACAAAAATAGACACATACATCAGTGAACAGAAGATACATAAACTGACCCGCACAACTACAGCCATCTGATTCTAGACAAAGAACCCAAAAATATATATTGGAAAAAAGACAGTCTATCTAACAAATGGTGCTGGAAAACCTGAATATTCACTTATAGAAGAATGAAACTAGATCTCTATCTCTCAAAATTGATCAAAGACCTATGAACTTGTATTATATCTGAAACTTCAAAGCTGCAAATATAAGGAAACATGTGAAGCCATAAGCACAGGAAAAGACTTCCTGAATAAGATTCCAATAGCAAATGAAATAATAGCAAGAATGAACAAAGGGGACTATATCAAATTTAAATTTTCTTCACTCTAAGGGAAAGGACAGAGTGAAGAGAGTCTACACAACTAGAAAAAGTCTTTGCCAGCTGCTCTTCTGACAGAGGATTAATATCTAGAATATATTAAGAACTCAGAAAACAACACAACAGTATCAATAGCTCATCAATAAATAGGCAAATGAATTCAACACACACTTCTCAAAAGAGGTACAAATGACCAGTTAGTACACAAAAAACTGTATTTTAATCATGAGGGAAATACAAATCAAAACTGCACTCAGACACTATCTTACCCCAGTCAGAATGACTGTCATCAAGAACACACACACACACACACACAAACGCTGAAGAGGAAGTGGAGGAGGGGAGAAGGAACTGTTCTACACTGCTGGTGAAAATGTAAATTAGTAGAGCCACTATGGAAATCAGTATGAGAGTCCCCCGCAAAAAAGAAAAATCTATATATCTACCATTCGACCCAGCTATACCAGTCCTTGGTACATACTCAAAAGAATTAAAAGTCATGTTTATTAGAGCACAGTTCACATTAGCCAAAATATGGAACTACCTGAGATGCCCATTAACACATAAATGGACAAAGAAAATATGATATAAATACACCATGGAGTATTCTTTAACCATTAAGAAGAACATAATTTGGTCCTTTGCAGAAAAATGGGAAGAACTAGAGATCATTATGCTGAACAAAATAAGCCAGATGCAGAAATACAAGTATTTCAGGTTCTCCCTAACACATGGAATCTAAAAATAATGACATGAAAGTATATGAGACTTTTTTTGGGGGGGGTACCAGGGATTAAACTCAGGTCCTTGCACATGCGAGGCAGGCAGTGGAACTACTGAGCTAAATGACCAGCCGTATATGAGATTTTTATTACATAAGGCTAATAAAAGTGAATGAGACTATTATTAGACAAGAAGAAGGAAATAAAGAGAAGAGGTATAAGGAAGTGTTATAAGCAGCATGTGTGAGGTCCCTCAGAGACAGGCTTTGTAAGAAAAAAAAACTTTATTGCTGTTCAGGTATGAACAGAGACTAAAATCAGGAGCACATTTCAGCAGCTAGCTGGAAAGAAAACTATGTTTATATAAGTTTCTGGGAAGGGGCTATAATCATAAAGAATGTTTATGACTGAGGGTCCAAGGACAGTTAGCACAGGTGTGCAGAGACGATCACTGAATTTCTTAGCACCAGGGAGATTGTCTACACTCTCCTCAGTTTTCTTTATGGCTGTCTTACTTATCGAGAGTAACCTGTTGTTTTCAGAGTAGCCTGTTTATCTGTGAAGGTCACACTCATGCCAGTCATGACATGAAGATTATGGAGGGATGGATACGATCAAAATATATGCAGTGAAACCCAATAGTAAAAAAGAGTTTACTAATAGTAAAAAAGAGTTTAAGAAAAAAATGACAAGATGTGATGATTATACTACTTTAACAGGATCATTCTGAGGACTAGATTACAATAGACTGCAGGTGAGAGAGGGAAAACAGGGTGACCACTTAAAATGTTATTGCAGTAATCTAGACAAGAGATGATTCCAGCTTGGATCAGGATAAGAAAGCCAAAAGAATGAAAGGGCACTGAATTCTGGGTAAACACTGAAGGTGGCAACATTCTTTGCTGACAGCTTTGGTATGGTATCTGAGACAAAAAAGAATCAAGGATGATTACAAAAGTTTGACCTGAGTAACCATGAAAATTCAATACTCACTCATTATTTAATAATTTAAATATTAAAAGAAAAGAAAATCTTTTACCAAACTACATCAATAAAATGGCTTTGTATTTTAAAAAATAAAGCTTTAGTGCGTAGAGAACAAGCATTTTTAGTTGACTAGAAAATTGCATACATTCAAGCCCTCCCCGCTGCTGCTATGGTGAACCTTTTTAGAGCCTTCATTAACAAACAGCTCACCATCATTGCAAGGAGCTACCAGAAAAGAGCTGAAGACCATAATTTGCAAGCACTGATGAATACCACTGAGGACCACAATTTTCTTAATTTATCTTTTATAGTTTCCCCACATTAGTCTCTTCAGTATTAGTCTCTTCAGTCTACTGTTGAGAAATAATTGTATTCCAGGTGTTTTTACATCCAGTGTTTGCATCTCAGCATACATTATTCTCATAGAAATAATGTCAGAGACCATGTACAATAACCCAGAGAAGTCATTTAACCCACGTCAATGAATTGCATTGTTACTAATGTAGTAACATGAAACCTAGCCACTATCAACAGTTTTCTCAGGAAAAACTGATGCCAATTTCCACTCCAAAAATCATAATGCTTGTTTCCCCGATGTAGTTCCAGGAAGGTAAATTTCCCCTACCTGCTAAACCAAGCCATAAGGGACTCCAGAACTCCAGAGGCGACTAGAAGGAGATTTAGGACATAAAAAGCATCCCACAGGTGTGGCCTTCCTTATCCTCTTTTCCAATTAAATCTCCATCTAGACAGTCTCAGACATTGCTAATCACAGCAAAAAAAGAGTCCTGAGAATACCCAGAACCTACAGTGATCAGAACATATTATCCATTCCCAGCATGCATTGTGAAGAGGATGTAGAGCAACCAGGCCTAGAAATGAGTTCTCTGGTCAAGGCTCCTACCTCAGGTAGATTTTTGAGTTCAGTATTCAATCAAAGGCTGTCTAAACTAGCAAATAAATATCATCAATAGGAGGTTAGGGGATAATAAGGCACTCCCTTACCTGAAGCAGAAGAGACCAAGAACATATTATTGGGCCAGGGAGGCCCACTGACCTGTCATTCACAACACAGGATTGTGGGTAAATGAGCTTCTCATAGATGCTTTACAAAACCCCTGGGAGACAACTGGGTGACAGGCAGAATTTCTCTCGTTTTTCATGAAGAAGAAATGAAGTCCAGAAAGTGTAAGTGGCAGAGTTCCAAAAAGATTTTCAAAAAGAAGCTAACCTTTCAAAGACAGGCACTTCTCTTTCTAGGTAAAAAGCTCTGCATCAAGTACAAGTACTGCATTGAACCCCTTACCCAGAGGGGGAGGGGAGGACAAGGGGTGATGGGGGAAATGATTAAAATGTTCTGTGCATGTATAAATCTGCTAAAATGAAATCCATTTATCAGTAAAACCAATATGCACACATAAAAAATGTGAGAGGGATAAGAGTAAAAGTATTGCATGTTGAGACTTGCTCAAAAGTCTTTTGGGATTTGTTGATGAAGTACTGGTTGGATCTCATGGTAAAAAAACAGTAATTTATAACTGTAACATTTCGCAAATGTTTCAACTCTCTGAATAGCTAATTATGCTTCCTAGATTTTTCTTGACTATCTAAATTAGTGATGAATCACTTGGCATATTTCTTCTGATTATACATAAAATTAAATGTTACTTTCAGTGTTTCTTCCTTAGCTATTTCTTTCCTAATTAGCTGGACCACCCAGAAAGAATATGGATACCTACTTTTACTTATAAAAAAATAAGTGGGTTATATAATTTTTATACCTATTTTCAGACTTAACAAATTCGCCTTCTGACTGTAGAGGATAGTCTTATCGTCTACTTTATGATCAAATTATCTTTATGAATTAATATTTTGTGCACCCATCTTTCCATCACAAGCAGGACTTCTCAGTAATATATTTGAGCTAAAAGAAGCTAATAGGTTTTGAAAAACAGTTCTAAAAAATGATAAACACACACACAGAAAAGATAAAGAGAAAAGGTGGACAGTATGTCTGTTGCTCTTTAATTGCTTGATCCATGAGAAAGTCTTGTTATACTTGTATTTAGCATCTTCATTGAAGTTCTTTCTTATGACATTCACCATACCAGTCTTCTCAGAACTTTTCCTTATCCTAAGGAAAAGAGTAATGCACACTTAGGAAGTGTTCATTTTTTTAAATTTCATTTTTGAAAATAGAAGAGGCCAGACTTTTCTGACTTCATTTGTAGTCCATATAAGGCCCTTACTGCTTACCGTTTCCTGGGATAATTAGCTAGACAAGTAATTAAAAACAACACCAAATGCCAAAGAACAATAAGAAAGAAAGGCTATTTTCCCTGTTTGAGTTATAACTCCTAATGTAACTGCTGTCATTTAGAATGTGGGAACCACACTGGTAGATAGATGAAAAAGCCATAGGTGGTCACACAGTCACAATGGCCAGCAGCAGGTCAATGACTAAAGAATAAATTGGACCAGGAAATGAAGAAAGGTACTGGACTCGAATGGAATTCTTTCTATAAATCATGAGAGTCTGTGCTTCTTTCTTCCCACACTCAATTTTCTCCAAATCTGAAAGTGATGTCTGAGAATTAAAAGTGTGTTTTAGTGTGGAGTTGTTTTGCCATCAGCCAGAGGCCAGTCGTCCATGAAAAGAGGAATAGCTTCTCACTGACGCTGTAAGAGACTGTGAGGGAGTGATGCCTGCTGGTTTTGCTCCCTTTGATGGGGAATGTGGAGCTGCTGGCTCAGATACCTCCAAGGCAAGTTCATAGCAGCCACTGCAGTGAGAAGAAGATAACCCCAGAACTGGAGAAAGGTTCTACTATACACCAAAAACTTGGGAGGAAAAAAAAAAGTCACATAGACCTTCCTATTTCAACATAATTAAAGTTTTTATTTCTTCAGTTTCTCTACCATTGTTTTCCCTTTATAGTAGGCCATATATATATATATATATTTGTGTGTGAATAAATGAATGGGGTATAGTCCATTCCTCTCTAGTCCTGTTTTAAATATTCACTGCTGCTCAAACTTAATGCTCACAGAAACTGTTTGAAATCATAAAAACATCTGGGCACATAGCCATATCAAAGAATATTTACATGAAGAGATGGACACAGTATATCACTGCTAAATACAATAATCTGCTGCTAAGTCCACAAGATCTGATTATAGTATGTTACTATTTCATTTGTTATACATTCATTCATTCATTCAGAAAATATCCAGTGTATGTCAGTCACTACTGGACTCACCAAGACCCTTTGCCCTTTCCAACTGAAAGGAGAGGAAAGGTAAAAAGGAAGTATGAAAATAAGCAAGATAGGGTAACATAAATATACTCTATATTATAATGGAATATTTCAAAATATGAGAGGAAAAGCAGAATGGAGCAGGTTAAGGAGGGCAAGAGCTAGTGGACTGTATTTGGGGGTATAATGCAGAGATGGATTGCAATTTTAAATAGCGTGGTCAGGAGAAGCAATTTTAGATGTGAGACTTGAGCCAAAGTTAGGTGAGAGACAATGAAAGCCAGAATAAAGGCCTAAAGGTGGGGTGTGCCTGATGCATTTATGCAACAGCAAACAGGTGTGGGTAACTAAATAGCAGAAGCAAATATAAGGAAAGAAGCAGCAATGAGGAGTCCAGATGGCGTGAATCCTTGTCACTAGCCTGAAACCCTGAAATTACTGTAGCATGTTGTGCTACCAGCTGTTTATTTACCAGTCAATAGCCATTTGCTTCCAATGTTCACAACAGAGTTATCACCCACCCAAAATGTTATGGCCTAGAAAAAAGAATATCCCCTAAAGGGCTCATGTACTCCAAGGCAGGGCTTTTGGAAGGTGACTGGACTGAGGTGGTGCTATAGCCGTTAGAAGGTGGGGTCTGGTCAGAACAGAGAGACCACTGGGGGCACAATCTAGAATGGGGGCACAACCTAGAAGGGTGTATCTCCCTCTCTGGCTCCTCTTTTTGCTCTATGCTTCCTGGCTGCCATAATGTGAGCCGCTTTCCTCATTAAGGCCCTTCTCCAAGGCCCTGCCTTAGAGCTCGCCAAACTTAAAATGGAAACGTGAGCCAAAATAAATCGTTCCTCCTTTACATTGTGGATGTTCTGTACTTTGTCCCAGCCAAAACAGATTTTGTTAACAGAGAAATAGGGTCATTATTGTAACTATACCTGAACATGTAGATTCAAAGCCTTTGGAAGTGGACAACAGAAGTTTGAAAAGGTTTGGGAATGCTGGATAGAGAAACCCTAAAATGCTGTAAACTATACTTGATGAGACACGCTGGTCAGAGGTCAAAAGACACGTATGCTCATAGAAATGTACACAGTAAAGACTGGGCTCTACAGGTTTCAGTTGGAAACAAAGGCTCTATTGGTAAATGGACTTGAAGCCATCTGCGATATTACAAGCTGGCAGATAACTTATCTTCATTTTGCTCATTTCCTGAGACTCTGTGGGAGACTGAGATAAAAGGCAATGGGCTAATTAGTGTGGTGAAGGAAATTTAAAGACAGTCCAAGGTTAAGACTGCACTATGAGTACTGCTTGCTGCTTTTAGCAAGATTTATGCTGAAAAGCAGGAGCAAAAAGCTAAATATAATTTATAAAAACTTCATAAAATATTTTTTTGCTAGTGGCCAGAAAAGAAGCATCTATGAAGTTGAGGCCCATAAAATTTTGGTCCAGCACAGCTTGAATGCTGAAAATATTAGCATTAAAAAGAAGCCTGGACTGGGGAGTTAGTTCAGTAGTGCTGCTGCCTGCCTCACAAGTGCAAGATCCCGAGTAGGATGCCCAGTACCAAAAAAAAATAAAGTAAAAAAGCCAAGTACTTCGCATTAGTACTACAGGAAGGATGCTTTGAGAGCATCCCAGGAACCTGCAAGCCCCCACCCTTCATAGGTTCAAGGGTCCAAAAGTGAAACACTTTGTTTTGAGAAGAAAGCCCCAGGGTCCCTTCCTTAAAAGGGGCTACCAACAAACTGGTTCTTTGGGATTTGGTTCACAGTGCTCAGCCATCCAAACACTCAGAGGCCTGCAACCATGATTCAGATACTCAAGGTCTCTGCGGCACAGCTGTTGCTCAAGCTGCGGCAGACCTTGGTGTCATCCACATGGGGCTGATTTTATGAACATGCTGAATGTTAAGAGCTGTGGCATCAGGGATGTCTCCACCCAGATTTCAGCAGAAAGTTTGGGAGGCCAGGCAGTGTGCCCCTGAGAGGACAGTGCATGAAGCTAAGATAATGAAGCTGAAATTGTACTGGATACCCCTAGAAGTTGGGAAATCCAGAACCATGGAATTTCTGCTGAGGAAGGCCACAGACAGTAAGCAAAGTGAGCAGAAGAGAGAAGCCAGGAGATCTGCAATCAGCAGAGCTGTAGGGGCGGGGTCACCCAAACCACTTGGCAGTCACATTCTACCACAGATTGCTCCACATGCTATACATGGAACTACAGGTTTTAATGTCTGCCCTGATACATCCTTTCTAGCCACCTATTTTTGCATTTTAAAATGGATATGTTTATCCTGTGCCATTGTGTGTCAGCAGTGTTTAACTTTCTTTTTTATTTTTATGGGGCTTCTACCTAAGTTTGCCTTGAGCCTTAAAGGAAGACTTTGGACTTGGAATTCTCAGCAATATTGGACCTATTAAAACTTTGGCAGAGCCAGGGATTTAGCTCAGCAGCACCATGCCTACCTTGCAAGTGCAAGGTCCTGAGTTTGATCCCCAGTACAAAAAAAAACAACAACAACAACAACAACAACAAATTCTGACAAGTTTTTTTTGGAGGCCCAAGACAAAATGTTATAGTTTAGATTAAGAATGTCTAGGGCTGGGGATTTAGCTCAGTGGTTCCACTGCCTGCCTCGCAAGTGCAAGGACCTAAGTTCGATCCCCAGTACAAAAAAAAAAAAAAAAATTATCTCCCCAAAGGCCTCACATACTCATAGTGTAGTGGAACTTGTCATAAGAGTATCCATCTTGGAAGAAATGTAAGGACATCTGAGTGCCTGGCAGACCAGTTGTCTCAGGACAAGAAATGCCAGCAATTCTTGTTTGTCCCCTGTTAATCTCCCAAAAGGATGTAGACAAAGTAAAAGATGCTTTCTAAGGGGTTAGAAGGACAAAGTAAAAAAGAAAAAAAAAGTTGTTTTTGTAAACACAGCTGGAAAAATATTATGTAACTTTAGATATAAGATAAAATGCTAAAAACATGCTTTTCGTTTGATGCTCTGAACGACTTCAATAAATATTGCAGTTTTGATCATGAGGCTGCTGTTTGCCTGAGCGAGCTGCAGTCCTCTGATCCTGCTCCTCACGTCTTGCCTCTCTTCATTTTGGGGTCACTGAGACACTCAGGGAATCAGCAACATCATAGACAGGGCTTTTGGACAGGCATAATAGCTGATTATAGTCAGGAAACAGGATTTGGTCTCAGGGGGCACGACCTGGAAGGATATATCTCCCTTTCCAGCTCCTCCCTTTACTCTGCTTCTTGGTCACCATGACATGAGCAATTTTCCTTTGCCTCACCCTTCCACAAGGCATTTACTGCCTTGGAGCCAGCCAGCCATATACTAAAACTATGACCCAACATAAACCTCTCCTCTTTTAAATTGTGGGTGTTGGGTATTTTGTCACAGCATCCAAGAAAGAGACTAAGAAACAGTGGAACTCCACACACACTTGATGTGGTTTAAGAGTCATGTTGACATTCCAGATAACTTTAAACTCATTATAATGGTAAAAACACACCCACCTGTGCCATAACAGAACCAACTATGGCCAAATTAGGAAAGAAGCGACACCCTCAAGTTCCTAAAAAGCTCCAAGAAAAACCTGATGACAACATGCATACCACACCCCCTCCTAATTCAGCCCTAGCAAAATCCAAACCCAGAAACTGCTGAGAAGGTGGCCTTAGAGCTGGAGCTCCTCTTCTCCATTCACTGAGAATGAAATTTCTCTGCTACTTTCACAACTACTTTGTTATGTGCAAACAGTGTTGAGTAGGAAAAGAAACTACTAATTTGGCGTTATGTGACATTTATAGTACAATATTATTTTTTCTATATAAATACTAGAAAGGAAGATATAAACTAAAAATC